TTTGGTTAGGTGAATGAGTCTAGCAGCTGTATTCATGATAGACTGAAGGGGGATAGCCTGTGTAGTGGAAGGCCAATGAGGAGGGAGTTGCAATAGTCAAGACGAGATATAACGAGTAGATGAGTAATTTTGCGGTTTCTTTGGTGAGGAAGGGGCGTATTTTGGAAATGTTACAAAGGTGAAGGCGGCAGGATTTGGATAGTGATTGGATGTGGGGAAGAAAGGTGAGGCCCGAGTCAAGGATGACACCTAGGACTTGGCATGGGGGGAGGGTTGGATAGTTTTGTTAACAATCCCAAGGGAAAAGTTGGGGGAAGGTGCACGGGCGGGAGGAAATATCATGAGCTCAATTTTTGAAAGGTTGAGTTTTAAGAAGTGTTGCAACATCCAGACGCATATGTCAGTTAGTAGATTAGTGACCCACAAGGACACTGAGGGGGTGAGTTGTGGAGTGGAAAGATATATTTGAGTGTCATCAGCATAGAGATGGTATTGGAAGCCATGTGAGGTTATTAACTGACCAAGGGAGGTGTAGATAGAGAAGAGAAAGGGTCCAAGGACAGAGCCTTGGGGGACCCCTACAGAAAGAGGAAAAGGAGGAGAGGAGTTAGACTTCTAGGGGACACTAAAGGAGCGCTTAGATAGGTAGGAGGAGAACCATGAGAGAGCAGAGTCTTGTAGGCCAAGCGAGTAGAGTTTTTTGAGGAGGAGCAGGTGGTCAACAATGTCAAAAGCAGCAGAAAGGTCTAATAGCAAGAGTAAGGAATAGTGTCCATTGTTTTTAGCTGCTGGTATGTCAGTAGTGAGTTTTAGGAAGGCGGTTTCTGTGGAGTGTAGGGGGCAAAAGCCGGACTGTAAGGGATGGAGAAGGTTGTTATCAGCTATGCGGCGGCTTAGGTGGCTGTAGATAAAGCGTTCTAAGAGTTTGGAGGTGAATGGGAGTAAGGAGATTGGTCTGAGATTGTTGAGGTCGGTAGGGTCCAGGGTGACCTGGGCATGCTTTAGAGGGGAGGGAAAGCTGCCAGTAGAGAGTGAGAGATTGAAAATGTGAGTAAGAGAGTGTAGGATAGAGTAAGGTGACCAAAGTAGTGGTGAGGGAACAGGGTCCAGGGGGCAAGTGGTGAGGTGGGTGTCAGAGAGAAGCTTTGTAACCTCCTCTGTGTTGACAGGGTCAAAAGAGGAAAGTAACAAGTGTGGTGGTGGGTCTGGCACATGAATAGGGGAAGGTGACTGCACAGTGATGATCTGATCAATTGTATCTATTTTGTTTTTTAAATGGATGGCAATGTCCTGGGCAGTGAATTAATTAGTGGGTGATGGCGGTGGGGGACATAGTAGAGAGTTAAAAGTGGAAAAGAGTTGACGAGGTTTGGATGAGAGTGTGTTAATGAGAGTGACAAAATAAGTCTGTTTGGCAGCACAGAGGAAGGAATTATATTTTAGGAGGGCAGCTTTATACAAGTCTTGCAGAAGCCTAGTTTTTCGCCACACTCGTTCAAAAGTGCGGCTTTGTCTTTTTTGATGTCTGGTTACTTCAGTTTGCCACACTTGTAGCGGACATCGTCTAAGTCTGCGTGTAGTGAGGGGAGTCAAAGTGTCTAGAGAGGATGAAAGTGAGCTGTTGTAGACAGAAATAGCCAAGTCAGGGCAGGACAGGGGTGAGATTTTGTCATAGAGGTAGTCAGTAGCAGAGTAGAGAAGAGAAGGGTCGAGGTGGCGAAGGTTTCTCCGGGTGACAGTGTGCCGTGTAAGTGGATTCATGGTTGGGGTCAGGGTGAGTGTGAAACTGAAAAGGTTGTGGTCTGAGAGCAGGAAAGGGGTGTTGGAGAGGTTGCAAGGAGTGCATAGGTGAGATAATACAATATCTAGTATGTTACCATCAGAGTGAGTAGGAGTGTCTGATCATTGTGTTAGATCAAAAGAAGAGGTTAGGTTAAAAAATTGAGTGGAAGCCGGGGTGTTAATGTTATTAGCAATGTTGAAGTCACCAAGAATGATAGTGGGTATTTCTGAGGAGAGAAAGTAGGGTAGCCAGGCAGAGAGGTCATCCAGAAAGCGAGATACTTGTCCAGGTGGCCGGTATATAACAGCAATCCTCAGCAAAATTGGAGAGAATAGGCGAATACAGTGTGTTTCAAAAGAGAAGAGGGATAGAGCGAGAGGTGAAGGCAGAACTTGGAAAGTGCATTGGCGGGGATAGAAGGATTCCCACTCCATCTCCTTTCCATCCATTGGGTCTGGGTGAGTGCGTCTAATGTAGGCCAACATGGGACAGGGCAGCAGGGGAGGCATTTTTGGATTCCTGAAGCCATGTTTCAGTAACAGCTAGCATGTTAAAGGAATTGGAGATAAGAAGATCATGGACAGCGGTGATACTGCAGTGGATACTGCACATTGCTCCACCTCACACACTGTGCTGTGTAAGATACATTTGGCTTACAGCTCCTTATCAAAATGCAAGTTGCTGAGCTGAAATCTCCGAAATGTAGTTACAGACAACAACAAAGGCCTGACAGAAGCTCTAACACTTCCCCCCCTCTATCTAGAATGAAATAAAAGTCTTGATGGGAAATTGCATTTAAACAAAGGTCAGGTATATTTCTAGAGAAACCATAAAAATAAACTTACTTCTAAAATATAAAACTGTTAACATATCTGTATAAATGCTTCATGTATTGCAGACGTACCTAACATAAATAAAAGATGGGGTGTGATCTGGTTATAAACGTATAATATACTCCTTAGATTAAATGTATTGTTAATACAGAGCGAAGGAAGACAGAATTACCATTCAATAAATAATACCACTTTAATGGCAAAGTAATAATTTAGACAGTTACACTGCGCACATCTGCAAAAAATAGATGCAAGCTGGTTTACAGGCTAGAAGAACAATCAACTTATAGAAAATACATCATTCAATTAATCTTGATTACACCAAAACTTATTTTGAGGGCTTTACGAAGACTACAAAACTTTCCAGATGAATCTATTTCACTGCTTCTGTCTATTTACATGATATGTTACATCAAAAAATGTACAAAATATAAAATGTATACTGACAAATGTTTCACAAACAATTTGTTTCTTTGTTGTAAACTACATGTACTCACTGAGATGTGTTGTAGGAAGGTCTATATGCTTATATCTGGTGTGCACGTCAGAAGGATATTTGCAATCTTTCCAAGGCCAAATATAAATGTCACACAAAAAGCCTGAAGTTAAAGGAGAACTGCAGGCAAAACACAATTCAGTAACTAAGTATGTAAGAAAGGTTGTTTACCTGTGTTTTGTAATACATTATTAGAAAGAAAAGTTAATTCTCCATCTTAGATTTATTTCAACATACTATAATTTTAAAGGCTTTCTTAAAGCACAAAGGTTATTTTTGTGCATGTTCAGGACTCATATAGGCATTGCAGGCTGTGCACTCTGAGCAAGACAAATTAATCAGTTAAAGTCAGTATAGCAGCTAGGAACCAGAGAAGCTGGACTTTTAAATATCTGGTGACTTCTGTAGCTCATGTTTAAAACAAGGATATAGGAAGTGGTTAGAACCTGATATTACATAGGCTTACTGATGATTTTTGTCTTGACTGAAAAGCTCCTTTAATGCCTATTTCCTTTGCTTTCAAAGTTAGCACCATGGTAATATACAGTATAAAGGGTAGTAGGTGACACGTGTACTGTGCAAATTACATTAACCAACATGCAACTGATTCTGTGCCTGAATGCCCTGGTTTAGCCAGCATTTAAAACTTTTAGCCTGGTCCCATATACTCTTTCTATTTAGTATCAGCCCCGTAGAAGTCTAGGTGTAAATTACATACACCCAAAAAAGATTGAAGCACAAGCCACAGGACCTGGAAGTTACTAAGATTGAGATCCAAATAGAATTGGGGACATAGAAGAGAGCATAATTTACTTACAATGCTGATGCTCCTAATTCACTGATGCCCATGAAATACATTACCATCAAGGTATAATTCTGAAATTAAATCTATATGACCTACTCTGAATGGAAGTTGTACATGCATGACATGATTAAGATTTGCATTTGGGCAATAGCACCGTGTAGGGAAATCTTGTCTTGAAAATAGCACTGTATAGCATAATTCCTATATAAGGATTACAGTAGATGACCAAGGTTTTGGCCAAGACGTGTTTGTAGCACCAGTAATTGATGTTGAATGTAGCATCTGGTTTACAAAGTCTACACAATGCCATAGCCCTTCAATTATTATTGTTATGTTTTTTAACTAATAATTGACTTTATTGGTTCATTTGTGGTCTCCTTTCCATGATTAATTAGGTCACATGAAATATACATTTCTGACATTATCACAAAATATACTGGCTCAATGTATATAGTTTTTAGAAACATGACTGTATCACTGTACCTCCTTCGAACTCCTAATACGTGTAAGCACATAACAAACACACCAGGAAAAACAGTATGAGATTTTGCATTCTGGAGTTGTTTAAAATGTATGGAATATTCCGTGAAACATACACCAACAAGTTAAAATACAAATTTGTTTTGTTTCCTTTTTTTTTTTTCTTCTCTTTTTAATGGTGCAAGGCATTTTTTGTCATGGTTTTTTATATACAGCACCCACCCAATTAGACTGTGCAAAACCAACCCAGTTATAATAAAAACTCTACACTGCCTCAGTCATACTCAACACCGAGAGCCCCATTTACAACATAATAAATTCAAACATGCCTAAAACTATTAGAAGGGGAGAAGGAGAAATTAAATAAAAAATGGTTTGTGCTCATGCTTTGTCAAGTGTTCCCAGCACTGCTGGAAATTCTATCAACATATTTCCTTTGCAAGCAAGCAAAAGAAAAAAAACTTTTAACCACCTGTGTCAGTTTTGAAGTCATGATAGACTTGTCATTGTTGACCTGTATTTCAGAGATTAAGACAAATTATACATAAAATAATAGACTGATTTTCATTGATCACTATCTTTATAAAATAAAAGAGTAGATCACTGTGCTCAGTGAGAAATAACATAGTAGTTTTGGTAAGAAGACATAAGTCTTGTTTGTACTCTGACTAAAGGACTATCAAGAGATATTTTTAAGGCAGTGAGATGGCACCATATGACTTTTCTATTCTTCTATTCTCCTTCCTTCACCAGCAATACTCACATAAAACACAGGTCTAAGGGAAGCCTTAATCATTGTTATAAAATTGTTTAAGTGGGCAGTAGGTGATTACAAAAACAACTGATTGGCAATAAGGACAATTATTAACAAGTGATTCAACACTGCTGAGTTCAGAAGTCTGAGCATGGCAGTTCAGATTTACAATTGGCACTTATCCAGTTTATCACAGTAGATTTTCTAGTTGCTGCACAAATACATTTTTGTGCTTTTAGTTTGAATGTAAGATCATTATACAGATCGGAGGCAGCACTTTACACAACAATCTCACTAATGTAATCATGTGACCGGCACAATGTCTTACATCAGAGATTTGGAGTGGATTAAAAACACAGCACAATTAGTACAGAATGTAAAAAAAAAAAAAAACAAGAACACACATTATACATACACATCTGTGCTGTAAACCTTTTAGAACATAAAATGATTCCAGTTTGGCTAGCAAATGTGCAATCTGCTTGTTTGCCCTCTATCCAGGGCTCTTTCCAGTTGACTAATGGAGATACACTCCACTCCATTCATATTGAAATGCATTGAGATTAAACTAATTCAAGCTTCCCACTTCAATTTTTCACCCGACTTCTTTTCTGAACCAAGTCACCTGCCTACCAGCACATTTTCCTGGTACGGGTGTTGCATTGTGCTGCTTTAGTAATGGCAGTGATCTATTGGACAAAACCTTTCAACTATAATAACAATATAACATCCATGGATGAATCCTTAGAGGGTTGATTCGAGCGAAGGTTCCAAAACTTCATCATGGTGACTGGTGCCATCGCTGTCACAGCTTTGTCCACTTGAAAAATTGGCTGTTTCTTGAAGCCGCATTAACATATTTATCTGGGAAGGAAAGAGAAACGCATTACACTTTCCAAATCCAAAGAGCTTTATTTCATATTTTCTGCAGCAAAAAAGTAATTTCATAATGTAATACGAAATAGATGGCCAAAGCTTTTTTCCTAGAATTACACCACCAAGTCATATCGAGAGTCAAAATGGAAATAATAATATAGCACTGCCAAGCATTGCCATTAAAAACAAAGAGAAAAATACTCAAACATGACAACTACAGCGGAGCATTCTAGCTCTGCTGCAACAATCCATCTTAGTTAAGAAATTGTTCATCTATGAAAAGACGAACATTACCGCCTATGTTCTTAATATTAACGTGACTAGCTGGAGCACAATAATTAATAATGATTTATTAGATTTTTTATATTGCTTAATAATAGAAATGAGTTAAAAGGATAAGAATGCTGTCATAAAGAGATCCTTTTTGAAGCTTGACACTAATTTGACAACAAAGTGTTAGTTACCCCTGAATGCTCAAAAACAAAACAGCAAGGTATGAAATGCAGATATCAGCAGCTTAAAGAACACAGCGAGTCCCAATTCAGAGGAGCATGTCGACTTTGCAGCACGTATGTACAAACAGAGCTTTCATCAGCACCATGGCCAGTCAGGCAATATGTTACCATAACATTTAGATGCTTGATATTTACTACTGTACGGCAATAATAAACATGCTGCCTTGAAAGAGGAAGTGTTGTTAGCACATGCTATATGGGTTTTTTTGCTATGATGAGTATGTTTTGTATTTCAAAAGTCTGAGGTGGCCTACTGTAACAATGTTTGACTGGTTGCCTATTGCTAAGGCAATACTAGCAGGTAAATGAATCTGGGGTAGAAATTGTTAGTAGAAGAAACTTTGTATGTCTCTTCTTAAAACTCCTTTACTTCCGTCAGCAATTTTTAAAATGTACACTGCCAGCATCTGTACAGCATAGACTTCCGTAGGGCTCAGCTGAGTGCCGCAATAGTGCAAGTTTAACGTTCATGCACGAGAGTGGCATCACCACTGACTGATGGCACAAAAAAACTAAAAGGAAGGTGCCAGGTCCATAAGAAGAATCCAAGAAGATGGCTACCGCAGTCTAGAGCACAAACCTATCATCACTGGAGGAGGAAAACTCAGAGGTAAGTTTGCCATAATGTGCAAGTATGCCATGCATAGTTGTATTAAGGTAACTCTTAATACTTTAGCAGTGTATAGGCAGGGCTTAATGGTAAGGGATGACTAGTTTATTAGTGGAGGAAAGGTTAATATGCCCCTTCATAAATGCCCTAGGACTTAAATACATAATTAAAGTGTACAGTAAGTAAACCCTAACAATTGACTTTTCTATTTAAAACCTTTTGGTTTGCTAAATACTCTAATAAAAGTTTATTATCTGTTCGATAAGTGCAACAATTACCTGCTGATTTTGCCAGAAATCTTGTGGACTGATAAATTGCTCTGCTCTCTGTCTGTACACAAGGATGACTTATGGAGAAGAGGAGGAGGGGCGGTAAATGAGGAAGGATCTGTGTTTTTGAAATGCATCATGAAGGACATAGGCAGGGTTGATACCACGTTCTTAAGTATTCATATTGTCATTTCAAAGATATATAGACATTCTATATTTGTCACATCGAGAACTATTTTTCTGTACTTGCAGAGATGTATGAAATCTGTTTTTTAAATTCTGTCTTGACATATGCTTAAAAAGACAATACCTATTTCCCCTACCTGCCATTTTCACAGTATAGCTTCCTCCAAAAATACATGCATTTTAAAACCATTTTCATGCGTCAATAGGTGTCACATTCCTCAATTACAGGTGATAGGAAGTTTTTTTATTCCAGCGCTTGTACAGCCTCAGAATACATTTTAACCGTACACAGCTTATATTACTCATCTTGGGCACTAAGGGGTTTATTCACTAAAGAGTCGAAGGATGTAGCTGAACGTTCGGTTAATCCTTCAGCTCGATTTGGCTCGGCAAAGCAGACCACACAGCCGGAGCGAGGAGAATGGTCTGCTGAAGTTGTTAAAAAAAAGAAGAAAAAAGGCGTGCAGTTGCCCTTCCCAATTCATACCAGACCCATTAGGTCTGACGTCACGGGACTCCAGCCACTACAGCAGAACACTTGCCCCAAAATGGCAGGTCCGGGCTGAATGTAAACAAATGGGGAGAGCAAGTCATGACTCCACAGGACTCACTCTGCCCATTTGTTTACATGCCAATTGAGAACACAGTGCTGTCATGGAATAAAAACAAATGAATGGAGGGAGTTTACGACTCACTCCACCCATTTGTTTACATTCAACATGGACCTATCATTTTGAGGCAGGTGATCGGCGATAGCGAATGGGTCAGCTGGATTTTTATTATTTTGGTGAGTCAGCAGGCATTGTTCACAGTGACTGACAAGGATCTACATTGCTGGACGACGCGATTGACCTGTGGATTGCATCGTTGGAGCCTTTTTCTTTTTTTAAATAAAGGACTTGTCAAAAAATTACTTTTGTTTTTATTCAATTAAATGATGTTTTCAAGGTGTTGTGTTTTTATTTACTTTTTTGTGGACTTTTTGGTGCATGAGTAGGGGTACCAACTACCCCTTTCTCATTCACAAGGGGGGGGGTGGTATCTGGGTGCCACCTTTCTGAAAGGGGCACCCAAATGTAGATGAGTCCCCCTGCCTGCAGACCCCCACAACCAACGAGCCAGGGTTGTGGGGAAGAGGCCCTTTTCCTCATCAGCATGGTGACAAGGTGCCTTTCCAGGGGTCCCCCCTGTAAAAGCACCCTCCCAATGTCAAGGGCATGTGGCCTGCTATGGTGCTGGGAGGAAAGGGCGCTTGCCCATCCCCCCTTTCCTGCTCTGCCAGGCCACTGTTCAGATCAAGGGTCTGGTATGGAATTTTAAAGGGGAACCCACATTTAAAAAAATTTTTGGGGTTGGTGTCCACCTAAATTCCAACCAGACCTAAAGGGTCTGGTTGGAATTTGTAGTGGAACCCCCACATTTCAACCAGATAGTAAGCTACCTCGCTTTTTTTATTCTGTGCAGCTACCGAGCCGAATGCTGAGCCGAGCTTTGGGCAATTCACTCTCTGCTGTTCTGCCCTTTTGAGAATAGGGGTGAACAGCAGGGAAGGAGCTGCTGAATGTTCGCCTCAGCCGATCCAGATGTTGCATCAGCTGAGGCGAACGGGTTCATACCTTTGGTCCAGCTGAACGTGCTGAGGCTGTTTGGCCGAGCCAAAGGGAGGTGAAGTGGACCAAATGCAGCTATAGTCATAGCTTTGTATATGATTCCATCAATGAAACAAGCAAGCTCTATTATTGTCCACGTACTGTAGCTATGTTAAAACGTTGTCAGACTATTCAAACACAGGTGAATGAGATAATTAAACCATTTAGTATATTTTTTTTATTTGTGGTCACTCCACCCTTCTTGAAATGCTGTGTCTGTGCACATGGTGAACCAAAAAAGGAATACTTTTGGCATTAATTCTCTAAATAAATTTCTCATGTTTATTAAGATGAGTACAGATATCAAGAGTGAAGGGAATTTGAACTTAGCAAGTGGATTTTCCCTAAGCTTAGCGAATGAGGTAAAGCTCTGCTGACCTTCACCATCCAATCATATGCAAGCAAAAATACTGTTTTGTTTTTTGCACATGATTAGGCATTCTTTGCAATGTGAATTTTAACCTCATTCAATAGGCTAAGGGAAAATCCCCTTGCAAACTGAAAATTTCCTTGCAAAACCAACAGCCTATTTGTCTTTAGTAAATCAATCACAATGACTCATAATCCAGTAGTGCGGTGATTGAATCTATCATTTCTAAACACTACATTCTGTTCACCTACACTGTATGAAGGCCATGATAAAAGATATTACTGGTAAGGGTTAGTGTGAGAATGAGCAGATGTCTATGCAGCCATTGTTCTCAGTAAGAGACCTGATCATCTAAGAGCATTTTAAAGATATATCCACACAGGCATTTCAAAAGCTTTATAACAGTGGTGCATCTGCCCTAGGTTAGCAGCTTCTAAGCTTCTCAACAAGAAAATAGGATGTGACAGATCATGAATCTGTGTGACAGCCACTGCATTCTGGAACATGGTAGTGCATGACGTTTTTAATTAATATGTTTATCAAAGAAGCATTAGCAGTATTGGTAATTGATATTTTTTTTTCAACAAAATATCCTCCTTTAATCCATACCCTACATAGATTGAGCATCTGAAACCTTTTAACAATTCATTTAAATAGATATGGAAGCTGGTATACATCCACAGCATACACATTAGGTGGGTTATTCACAAAGCTGCCGAAGGCAGCCAAGTGAATGACCCAGCCGAAGTGAAGTCAGCCGAACTATGTTCAGCTATTCACTACGGCTCTGTATGGCTGATTTCAGCGGTACATCGGCTTAAATCAGCCGTACATCGGCTGCACTTCGGTCAGGGGAACATGCTCTGCATGTTCGGCTGAGCTGAAGTGCAGAAGCACTTCGACTCAGCCGATCCAACATCTGGATCTGCTGGGCTGAAGCTTCGGCATCTCACTTGCTGCCGTTTGCCCCTATTCTCATAGGGGCTGAATGGCAGTGAGTGAATAGCTGAATGCCGCCAAGCTCGACCTCCGTGGTACCGAGCAGAATAGAAAATCAGTGAAAACCAAAGAGAGCCAAAGGATCAGCCGGAGCTACGGCTGGATCCTTCGGCTCCTTCGTGAATAACCCTGTACATTTTTTCAGAAATGAAGCCAGATCAAACAAATATACATTGCCAAGCAAAGTATTTCCTTATATTTTTACCCAAGCTCTTACAGTCATCATGTTTCCAAACACCTGGCTCTAGTTCCCAGATTCACTTCCCTGAACTTTCTGTCCAGTATAAAATCACAAAGGGACAACACAGTCTCCAGCAACTGTTAATCTACTAGCTTGTAGAAGGGAGGAATGAGGTTTGTTGTTCTGTGCTTGTGTGTTTGTTGAGATACACACAGCTTACTAACACACACAAGGGTAACTCCATAGGACCCTGCAAGGGAAAGGAGCCACCCTACATAGGATATCAGGGCCAGTGCTCAGGAGACCAGCTGATTCTGCAGAAAGCTAAAACTTTTAAAAATCATCCATTGTAAGTGAATTAATCAGCATTTGAAATAGATTAAAAACCTTTTGACTTTTATATAAATTTAAATGGTCCCATTTCAATTTGGTGTTGAAGCTTTCTTACAAAAGCTTTGAGTCTGTTTGGTGATTATTTCACGAATTTGAAATTAATATCAGACTTGACATTCAAATTTCAAGAGCTATACCCTCCCCTCTTTAGGAAAAAAGTGGACACATCTGTATCTCATTATCCACACAAAAGAGTGGTATTATCTTCCAAAGCATCATAGCTATTTTGTCTTTTCTCTGGGAAGACCAACTAAATTGAGAGAAAGGTAAGGCATTAAACACATCTCTAATTACGTGGAACATTTTTTAAGGCCTATTTTCCAAAAACCTTGTCTTGCATTTTAGAACTATTGGAAATGCTGAACATCCTTACATCCTTATTTATTTATGGCTCTCTTTGCTTGGGCTAACCCACAATGTATTCTCGTCTGAGGATGTGCTATATTACAAAGTCTCAGAAACAGCAATGGTGATGTAGATGGCACCCACTGTAATCATATTTTTAGCACATTCTAAAGAGTTGCATGATTAATATTTATAATTATTTTTTAATATAATTCAAGAGATCTATGTGAAAAAGAATGTGAAAAAATGTAAATTCTCACTAATAGCTAATGTAAATTAATCTGGGTAGTCATAACCTTTGGTAGAATATAATTATATATATTATACATAACAATATACAGTACGTATTCCACAATGGATACATTAATGATAGACTACTAATCTCATTTCAGAGATGTAGGAGCTTTATGGATGTACTGTACTTGTTCAAAGCAAATATATTAATGTAAAAACCATAATTGTTTTTATCAAAAAAAGAGATCTATGGGCAATTATAATTGTAAACATGACAGTTTTTTTTCTGAGAGAAGTAGAAACTGATTTCATTTGCCAGATGGGGGAATACATTTCATGTAGGGTGTTACAACACTGTCTGTTTTAACCATTGTAGAGGGTTTGACATAGACAAAACAATACAGTTGTTAAAGAGTTCTTAAAGAGACTTTATCTCAGGGGGAAAAGAGAGCAAACAGTTGCATGTATGAAGAATGTACCTACACAAACCTGTAGTAGCCTCCCAAACCTTCCTGTCATGGCTAAATGCAGGCTGTTCTGACAGGCAAAGCGCTGACACTATAGGGGAGTGCTGAAACTTTCCAAAGATCCTCGCTAACACATTTCTATTGCCCCATGACTTCATTGGCCAATAGGAATTTGCAGGAGGTAGCGGCGTTTGTAGGAAGTAAAATAGTTGCTGGTCATTGGTAGATATTTATGTGCATCTTCATAGAGTGAATTTTACATGGCAAATAAAATCTTGGTATACACATTGAGTGCAGTACTTGAAATTTGTTTTAAGGAAATCTAAACCTAAGAACAAAATTGTAATATATTGCAGCTTACCAGTCCTCAGACATGGTGACTGCATTTACTTTTCTTCATTCTAAGAACATTTTCTGAAAGTACAGGAAATACCCATAGATCTTGCCAGAAGTCCAGTTTCCTTGTAATGTCCTGCCCACTGAACTGATATCTCAACAATGTCCTGTGAAACAGAGAAACTCCACTGGGAGAGTGGGCAGTGTTTGTAGTACAAATCAGGAGAGGAGCCTAGGGTGACAATGCTGGTCCTTCATACATAAAGTGCAGTAAGTGAGCTGCAATATATTCAATGTTTGTGTTTTATGGTTTAGATACACTTTAAGTATAAAGAATATCATGGGCATTTGTGCTGAGGTCCATTTCAGCTATGAAGGGCAGAATTTAAATATGAATACACAGTTTAAGAAAAAGAAATCTCACAAATATTGAAATTATAAGACAGTTGTTCTAAAGATAATATAATCAACCATGTTTTTGACTACATAATGAACCTTTAGCTGTTAATAATTGCAATACGATTTGACAACTTGAGAACTGACATAGGAATTAATCTGCAGAAACTGCCAAAATATGTATTTTTTTAAAGATTCCAGAGCACATCACATGGATAATGCAAAGAAAAATCAAAGTAAGTGATGATAACATGCTGGCTGTTCCAGATTCAGATCTAGGACACCCATGTGACCGTTGATAATGCATTATCCCTTCAAAGAAGCAGCATGTGTATTTTTCTATTGAAAGATATAAAACCTTTCACATGAACAATGATAATACAATCATAGCCAGGCATCTGGAATAAAACTATAATTTTAATTAGATAAAGGAATCCACATTTTCCTTAGTGAAACAGGTTTGATACAAAAAGTGTTCTTTAAGAACATGCCAAGCATATTGTGGAAAACACTATACTTAAATTGAAACAAAAATGTAAAATGCGTCATTTTCAAAAAAGACACTAACACTACTGGGTCCTAAAACACTAAACATATGATGAGAAAAGACAACCTTTAAAGACATGATATATCACATTATACGAATGACTGCACTGTTTGAAATAGCATAAAGCACCAAAAAAAAAGGTAAAGTAACATTCAATGCATATCCACATTTTAAAAATCCAAATGTCTATTCATTTCTAAATCAAATCCTTAAAGTAGTACTAAACAATCACCTTTCTTTAAATATATGCATTCTAAATAGAAAATGAAACATTCCCTGGTACTTTATTTTAAATGTCTGCAGAAACTTTTATATTCACCGCTGCAGCTCCAGGTCACACAGAATAGATTGTCCTAACTTCCGGGTGCAGAAGTGCATACCCTGTACCCTTTACAATTTACAGTGCACTGCTCACTGCACAGGCTGAAGCTTCTGTAAGTCACTCACTTTGAGGATGGGTAGGGGTTTGGGGCCAGGACTGTGTATCCACAGCCAGGTGTGTGCCCGCAAAGGTGGCTCCACGACACCCTGTATAGTGATGGAGCCACCCGATAATAAGACCCAGGAAAGGGGACATTTGGAGATGAAGATTCTGAGTAAAGTAATACTGATATCTGCAGCACTATATTATTTTTTTCAAGCACATGTTTATATTGTGTCACTAGAGAACTGTAAATTGGCCACAAATATTGAGCCCACTAGATTTATATTGATAATCATGCCGGTTACCCAAAGTCTTCTGCTTTATATACTTCTCACAAATGGCAAGACTGTCCCACAATTGTGAGAAATGTGTTTTGTTCACAAGTGTGATTATCTAGAATGAACAGATAGCTATATGTAGTCTAATTTCAAATGACAAGTTGAAGCCAACTTGGTGTACTTTGTAGAAAACAGTTGGTATACTGTGTAAAATGTGGACTGGAAACAGATGGATTAAGGCAAATAACTAAGTGTTACAAACACTCAACGTTTCTTCAGCTGTATACAGAGTCTATTCCAAGAATATTGCTGGGAAAATTACACAATACAGGTATGTTTAACTAAGCTATGATACTTTGCTGACAAAATACATGGCAACACAAAGATCTGTATACCTGTATAATCTGTATTGAATTGGCAATAGAAACTGAATTATATTTGACATTACATCATTACATATTGTATTTTACCTTGAGCTAAGTATACAATACTGGATTACCCTGTTGGTGTTGTGTTTTTGGATGATATTACACTTTAATATGTATATGCAATGTTTAGAACTGCGTGACATGTGATTGTGTGATCAGTCACACAACTGGTGCTTTTTGAGTGAATTGCTGATACATTATTAGTTTAATTAGTTTATGTGTACTTTGTCTTTTATCTTAAGAGCAGCATTACTAGTTTTGATATACCAAGGAACAAAACATGGTTACTACATAAATAAATATGCATTTACTAGGCAGCATACCAAAGGGTCACCATCTTTGTCACTTTCTGGTACATTTTTGGACGTTGATACTTCTTTGGCAGTGGCATATCCATCATACCCTACATCTTCTGGTCGCAACTGCAGTAAGGCTGGACATTCACGTTTAGATGAAGCAGTATTCCAAGGGAATGTATCCTTTATCCATTTCGTTGGGTCTTCCCAAGGTGCTTGTTTACCATACATCTGTATATATGAAACATAGTTCAGTTGTCATTAAATCCTGCAATGTTTGCACAACCGCATTTGCAATCACAATATTAAAAGCCAAATTTTGACAAGCTGGTATCAGTCACTACAAGTACATCACAGATACATCACAGGATCTATATACTTTACCATGGTTTTGCATAATGTTTTTAAAGTAAAACCTCTCATCCTTATTTAAGATGTGTAAGGTACACACTAAAGTACATTTTTGACAGAATCTTTTGTGACTATACCACACTTTTACAGCACTTTCTTACTGCCAAAAACTCACTTCCACCAATGGAGGGTGGTATCCTATTGTTTGTTGCAGTGGCCTTAAAGAAAGCATGTAATGAAAGAAATAGGTGTGTTTTCATTGCTGACTTATTAATACGTTGCTAGTTCTCCAGCTGTTTTTTGTTTAGATCCTTAGTGTTACATACTAATCCAGGGGCATATTTGTTGGGGATAAGTTACAAACATATGTGCATACAGTTGAAAGAAAACATATGTGCATACAGTTGAAAGAAAACATATGTGCATACAGTTGAAAGAAAACATATGTGCATACAGTTGAATTTTGAATATTCCTTTAGCCTAAATATTTTTGTTACTGAAGTCTGCAGACCACTAAGGTTACTTCCTTATTAAATGTATATTTTATTAAAACTTGATTGGCTACCTTTTCATGCTTATTTAGAATCCACTAACTATTTTATTATGTATCTTCTGCTCATGATCCAATCTGCTTTGGTAAACAGAACTTTTATGTATGTAAAAACAAAACTATTTTTTTAAGTTTTGAGTAGAGAGTAGAGAAGGGTTAGACCAGGGGTAGCCAAACTCCGCCCCTCCAGCTGTGGTGAAACTACAAATCCCATGATGCATCTCTCTCCGGGAGTCATGTCTGTGGCTGTGAGAATCTTGCAATGCCTCATGGGATTTGTAGTTCCACCACAGCTGGAGGGCCAGAGTTTGGCTACCCCTGGGTTAGACTTTCAACCAAGTTTCTACTGCCTTCTGCATCCCAGCTGGGCTGATCCTACCCTCTGATCAATGTCACCAAGACAAAGCAGGGAGATATTACAGTTGTCACCATAGCAAGAGCAGAGCATAAATCATCTAAATGGTGCATGTGACAGTCCCCTGTCTAAGATAGGATCTATCCTATCTGTGAGGAGATTTCCTCCCATTTCATGTTACATCTTCAGGAAAGAAAGTGAAAGGAAATATGTCCAGCGGGACAGAGGAAGCAAAAAAATAACCTGATAGGGGTTTTAATCACCTGTACATACAATTTAAGTTATTATATCTGTATTATAAATGTTAAGCCTTAGATGGGGGCCACAAAAATTCTAACATATAGGATCAATATTATGCATGTATAGCATAGTATAAGTCGTTTAGTATAGTATAGTTTATAGATAACTAGGATAATGACACTTAACATAGCAAAGCCTTCGTCTAGAATTTTTAAAGAAAAAATAGCACACTGTCTATCAGAATTATAATTTATTTTTTTATTGTCCAATTTTAACTAACAAGGGTGCTAATATTAAAAAGTGTCCTTTATAATAGATATACAGGAAAGCCAATTCCTTCTATACTTGAAACACTCTTGTGCAGTGCTGAAGGGGTCAAGGGGGTTGATTTACTAAAGGCAAGTTACTATTGACTTTGAGGGTAATTTAAACTTTGCAAGGGGGGAATTTTCCTTCAGCTTAGTGAATGAGATGAACCTGTGTCAACTTTCGCCATCCAATCATGTGCAAGCAAAAATACTGTCTTGTTTTTTTTTTCCTTGCACATTCCCTCGCAAAATGAAAATTCCCTTGCAAATTTAACAGCCTATTTGCCTCTAAATCAACCCCAACGTTCTGACTTTAAAGCAAAACTGTACTAGCCATACATTTCTTAAACATCCACAAATAGCAGGCATATATAGGTGCTTGTAGGTATTTACACTATGTTCTAGTGCAGGGCTCAAAATTTCAAGTCCTGAGCTACTAGCCAGGCCTTAAGAGTTACTCGCCACCAGTCGCCCCACCTACATCCCACATGCAACTAAATCCCGTGTGCTCTATTTTAAAAATCTCAATATCAAAAATTAAGTTGCCATACATGCAACTTTCCCATGCTTCACTATTAACCAACAAACAAGTCTATTTCAGTCTCATGATTGGTGCATGATTTCAACAAGTGGTAGTGTCTGACATGTACTGTATTGTATTTTACATAACTGTACACTGTATTGTGTACAGTTATGTACAATTCTGTGACATCCATGTAGATTAAGAAGTCAAAAAATCATATCCCTATTTCATTGGCATTGCAGCAATTTCTTGCATCCACATTCGCCCCTAAAATTTCTTAAATAGCATTTCTATTTGATTTATTATTTTCATAGTGGACCTAAATTTAGGTGTATCTATTTATTTGCCTATTGTTTGTATTGCCAAATACAGATTTTTTTTTTTAGTTATTTTAGTGGAGCAGCATACTGGATTACAGGTGCCACCTGGTGGTGATTTGTAAATTCACAGCTTATCTTGTAATCCTATCTAGTATAGCTAACATGAAAAAATTGCAAGACAACAATGAAGCCTAAAATAGAAAAAATATACTGGAAAAAATATAAGTAAACTGTCAAAATTATACATTGCTAGGTTCATCAACTGTTTTTGTCATTTTTGGCTTAAATGAAACCAAATATTGGGACAGTATATAGACTACAATAAGAAGATCTGGCTGTGATAGTTGTTATAAAGTATTAAGCAGATGCTATCCTTTTTTTTCCAGCAACATTTTTTACTCACAAAGGTGTTCTAAATTGACTTTATGAATTGCTTTGTTGCTTAGACGTTATTATCCAGCACTAAAATAATCTGGTGGATGCTTAATGGTAGCACTTTAGAACTGGTACCAGAAGGTTGCAGTGCAGCAGGGAGACTGATAGTGTGTATTTTACAGTTGATTGCTATTGCAGTTGGTTATCTGGAACCTAGGCTACCTCTCTGTTGGATTAAACCAAAATCTGGAAGTCATAGTGCAGTTGGAAGGCTTAAAGGTTATCTCACTAGCTACAATTATATTACCTACTGTTAACAGATAGTTGTATGAGATTATGATTGCATAAGTGGTGCTCCAACAGTAGCTTTCAGAAGAAATAATAAAGTCCTGACCTTTTCCATTTAGACTTGAACTAATCCTATAAGTGTGGTTTAGGACTTGAGAAGCATGCCGTAGGAGTGGGGCCTGTTCTCCTAGAAGTTAACCATGAAATACAAAAACTATTCTATAATATGGTTAGTATGTGGTCCAGAGTTTCTATTGTATATTATTGAGGTTAAATTCATAATAAGCTTTATCTATGCTGGCTCTTTTTATTATTTCCAGACTTAAAGTACAAATAAAGGCTCCTGCATGACAGTCTAAACAAGTTCCAAATTCAGTTACAATGTGATGCACAAAGCTAATAAATTAAGCAAAAAACTTCCTTTACCTACCCTAACTAACCCAAATCTGCCTTCATTTGTGTCTCACATGCTCCCCCTCCCAGGCACTGCAGCTCAATATCAGCAACAGAGACCATGCTGTCAATCTAGAGAGCAGTGGGCAGGACTAGGTGTGGGCAGGTGCTGACGGTCAAACTAGAGATTTGTCAATCAGCTGATAGCAATGTCCCCTGCAACATTTTTCATCCCACTGTAGTGAAAGCAGATATAGCTTACATGAGAGTGCAACTCTGCCCTGAAATTAGGTGCAGCACTGCATTGTTGCTGCAACACCACAGGAAACTGAATAAGAACGACTTTACTGGCAGGATCAACAGATATTTTTGGGACTTTGCAGGGGGAATGAGAGAAAACCATAGCTGTAATACTGTATTTTTTAATGGACGGCCATCGTTCTAAGTTTAAGTATACCTGTCACACAGTCAAATGTGTACAGCCCCCATAGCATAACAGGGGCCACCAAGAGGTGTTTGCCATCGCATATTTCTCCCCAAATATCCTACCAAGCATTGTGAATAGGGTAAAAGGGACATGTCAATACCTCTTACCTGCTTTTACCTTATCTATTTAAATAATATGTCTTAGTAAAATATTACAATAGGCTGTGAGCAGTTCTCTTTTTTGAATGTATAATATATAATGTTACATATGGAAAATCTCCCTAATTTTTCACAAACATATTAGTTGCAGTGATAGATGCAGCCTTTTAAGGGAAAGGGTCAATGCTCCCTAACAACCTCACAGTTGCCGACTGTGCCAGAACAGTTGTTTTGCAAAAATGCTTGTTGCTACCTAAAAGACAACTAAAGCCAAACCTTTTTTTTTTTGCTTTAGTTCTCTTTTGGGTACTAATTTAAATTTACTAATGTACTCCTGTGACCCAAACTCAGCGAATAATGGGCTACTGCCTGCTATATGCTGACAGCACAGAGCCCAGTTTCAGCAAGGAAGGATCCCCAAAAATACTGTCTGATTGACAGCTGGCTCTGCCTCTCTAGAGCCAGAGCTAGCTGTGCCCGCCCCTCATGACCTGTGCTATAAGCAGTTTGTAATCAGTTCTCGAGCTATAGAGTCAGAACAGCTGCAGTGTCATGTATTAAACTATTGGGAAGAGTATATTTTACCTTCCCAACAGTTTTCCTTTAATGTGATACCTGTTGCTGGTTTGTTCCAGATGTTTGTCAGAAATGCAGATATTAGTGCACATTTACATATTTGCATCAGAAAACAGCATCATGAAACATAATGTGCAGATTTTCATACAAAGAAGGCACAGTGAATATGGCCGCCTTAGAGCATCTTTCACAATGCCAGCAAGGCAAGCCTGCATTCAGGAGTGTTCTGGAAATGTGTCCAGCAAAGGCAGAATTCAAGATGCACAGCTCTGCATTATGTGGGGGATTTCTTTTCTGCACTATATGAAAGCAGAGGCACTTGCAGAAGGCCCAAGAGTGTGCTTGCAAAATTAAGGGTTATAAAAAAGTATGCCTGCTCTTTGCTGATTTAGCAGAAGAAATCACACGTTACTCTACAATTCAGGTAACACACAGTCATCCCTCCTTTCACTCTCAGCTCCAAACTGATCTGCATTACAGTGCTGCTCAGTTCAAATAAGGTCTGCATAGGGTACATTGCCCCCAATGGGAACTAGACTAATTTAATATGTATCCAGCCAGAGAACATTTCATCTTGTTTGACACCGGCCACTTAGAGAGCTTCAAGTTACCTCTGTTGCTTCTGTTTTTTTGACCACCGTTATCATGCTTTATGAAAATGAAGAAAATGCAACTAAAACAATAATATTTGTAGGACATGAGTAGTGACAAAGTCTTGGATCCAATGCATCGTTTACACATCCACTATTTACCTGAAGTCCTTCTCTCACAGCTTCCAGCAGATAGGGAATTACTGAATAGTTCCAAAGGTCTGTAAACCATATTTTAGACCCATCCATATCCATTGGACATGAAAGAAAAAGACGTGGACCTATGGAACAGAAAAAAAATATTTAAATTAAGTTTGCTTATCTAATTATTATTGGCACTAGTATTATGGCATTTATGTAAAACGTTTAAGAGTGTGCTTTTTAAATTATTCTTAAACAATATTACAGCATACATGTGATTGTTTAAAATGTATAGACATGAGAAATCCATGGTTTCCGACAGAGTCAACACATTACATAGTATTTGAGGTTGAATAAAGACACATGTCCATCAAGTCCAACCTATTGTGTGTGTGTGTGTGTGTGTGTGTGTGTGTGTGTGTGTGTATAGATCCCTGAGTCATCTCGTTATTAGGAGTACTTGTACCCCTGTATATTACCGTTTCTCAGGAAATCGTCCAAAAGCTTCTTGAACGATTCCACACTATTAGCTGAAATCACTGCTTGTGGCAACGAGTTCCAGACCCTAACGGCTCGAACTGAGAAGAACCCCCTTCGCCCCTTGTGTTTGAATTTTTTTCTACCAGTTTCAGGTGGTGGCCTCTAGTCTTTGTTACGGAATTCATCGTAAAGAGTTTGTTGCTAATGTCGCTATGACTATAGAACATTTTGTACATGAAAATCATATCACCCCTTAATCTCCTTAATTCCAGCGTGAACATATTTAAATTTAGTAACCGTGTCTCATAGCTCTTGTCCTCCATCCCTTTGATGAGTTTGGTCACCCTTCGCTGGACTTTCTCCAGTTCAAGGACATCCCCTCTGTGTACCGGTGCCCAAAACTGCACCGCATACTCCAGGTGAGGCCGAACCAGTGATGTGTAAGGTGGCAAAATTATAGACTTATCCCTGCAAAACATTCCCTTCTTGATGCAGGACAGGACTCTACTAGCTTTGCTTACCGCAACCTGGCATTGTAATCTATTATTGAGTTTATGGTCTACAGTGACCCCCAAATCTTTCTCCATTTCAGACTTCCCTAGCGGCATACCCATTATTGTATAACCCATTTGCTTGTTTTTTATTCCAAAGTGCATAACTTTGCATTTATCTAAACATTGCAAAACAATGCTTGGAAAAAATTATTGCATGTTACTTCTACAACATCTTGTGTTACTAAACAAACATTTTATAAAAATTAGAGTAAAGGTAAACAGTGTGGTAATTTCCAAAGTGCTTCTGCTTGCTTAGTAGTGTCAACAGATAGCCTTTCTCAACCAGGGTACCGTGGCACCCTGGTGTGCCTTCAGCCTTCCTCAGGGGTGCCTCGAAGTGAAGAGGGCTCCACAAAGTCATGCCTCTGATGTGAAGAGGGCTCCTTATGTGAAAGAGAGGGCTTCCGATGTGACAGGGTGCTGTGATGTTAAGGAGACTCTGCTGTAAAGGGGGAACCCCACTTTTTTGTATGTTTTTGTGTGGGGTCCTCCCACACAAAAACATACCCAAGGAACAAGTATTTCATAAGCTGTAAAATGTCTTTTATAGTTTATATTAATAAAAACCCCAAGTAAAGTTACTTTTAGTGACAGTTGCATTCTAGAAAATGCTAGTCTATTCTGCTAAATCTTCCAGTTTCTACAAAAGTTCTAAAATGCAAAGTTTTTTATTACAGTGCAAAGGATTTTTACATTAACGTTTAAATAAAGTGCCATACATCTGTAAATAAATATCATAGCTACAGATGTCTTGATGGTGCCCTTCATTTCAACCTAAGGACTGAACTACTTTGAACAGGACAAATAGTTCACATACATGGCTGGTTAGTAATTTAATATGGCTGAAAATGTGTAAATCATATTTTACATACTATCTGATAATGTTCCACAGAATAGCTCTTTCTTTAAAATAGAAAATGCATCACCCAGTATTTCAATGTTTAAAAAAAAACAAAGTCTAGTGACTTGCAGCAAAGAGAGATCGCATTACTCAAAGCTTGAAATTGATTTTTTAACTGGACGATTAAAGTAGTAGATCAGTGTGGAGCAGTAGATGTGGCTTATCTAGATTTTAGCAACCTTTCAGGCGCCTCGAATGAAGAATTGAACAAGTTCCAATGTTTTGGATTGTACAGTGGTTGATCAGATAAAGAGAGATAAGACAAAGGAACAGAAAATACTGTAAAAAGCACAATGCAGGGAACTTATCATCCAAAAAGATACGCCATTTTGTTATACACGGCACAGTAAAGGTTTATGTACAATTTAATTTTTAAAATGTGGTACTTTTAAACAAATATTTAAACTAATCTCAACATATTCTTAACCACAATTTTAATTTTAGGATGTGCAGAGCACTGGAACACAGTGAAAGAGAAAAAATTATAATATTACACTATCACATTAAAGTGCATGTCAGGACAAAATAGATGAAAAAAATAACTATTCTGTACACTGTACATGTCTGAAATGCATACATGGTTTTGCATGCAGTATTCCTTTACAAACACTGCAAACATAGAAAAATGAGTGTTGATCTGCAAGAAATCCAGTGTGCACCCAACGTCTGGTTTGAGTTGATAACACAGTGCCTTCACTGTACTGAAATCCCAACCAGCATCGTCAGTCCTACCTACAAAAATACATCTAGAACTACCTTCTCTGTCCCGTTTCACACACATACTGTGAGGGCCTGGCCAGACAGGGTTGAATCTCAGCTGCGGAACAACTAAGGAAGCAGGTAGTTTAGTATAAACGGTATTCAGTGTCGGACTCCTGGCGTCTCTCTCTATGTCAATTGAGAGTTAGGAGTCCTACCATCATTTACCGTAAAGAAAAGAGGGTAGTTTAGAGACCAGTACGTATTTCCAGCATACGCAGGGTCAAAGGAAAGAAGATTTTAGATTCTTATGAAGCAAGAGAGGTTATTGAAGGCAATGGATTACTGAGGTTCAAGATCACAACAGTCTTCTATGCCTTGCAGGAGTTTAGTTCAGGGTTATAACCTTTGAGCATACATGCAGTATGAAGTCAATCAGTAATAGGAAGGTTTCCCATTCACATATATAGTAGGTAATTGCAGTTCACAGATCTCCTATGGTAGAGTGGTGACAAGTAGATGCAATATAGAAGCAACCAGCAGATGGAGCCGACTCCAGTAATAGATGACACAGATACTTGCTGTTTGTAGGTTTCTCTGTTCGTCCCTGAGCAGGGGGAAGCTGCAGTGTCCTGATCCACTCACAGTTGGTCTCTCTCTCTCCAGGTTAGGGGGTCCAGGGTTCGTATGGCCGGCAGAGTCAGCAGGTGCTCACTCCACAGTAGCTATAGCGGAACACCGAGCTGACTGTCTGGCGGCGTTTTAAGGCGGAAGGAACGAGGAGGTGCCAGTGACGTCATTGGGCCGATGCGTTCCAGGCTGGAACGCATCGGCTCTTTCAGGACTTCCTGGTTTGTGGCTGCGTTCCAGCCTGGAAGGCACGGACGTGCCGCGATCCTTACACATACACTGATTTTCATCCCAGCAAAATAATACTGGAAAGATATTACGATAATAAAAGTTGGCCATTATAGCAAACCTGCGTCAGCCTACATAGCTGTTTAAAGAACAGAGGTTTGCTGGTTTGATGAAGTATTTATTAAATCAGCCCCAAAGGATCATTGCTAGATCGTATTATGGCTCAGTTATAATTTGTTATAAGGAATAGCCGATTTATGTTCAGATTCAAACTTGCCCTGGAAACAATACATTTAAAGTCCTATTTGTGGTTGTTGGAAATCCACACTAGTCAACCTCAATTACTATATCTTAAGTAAAAATGAACAATGTAGATCATGTGGTAGTACATAAGGACTACACTGCTGCTTGCAACAGCAGCATACATTAATATAGCTAAACTAAACCTTAAAGCAAATCTGTCTCTATGTTTAAAGCACAAAAGAAGAATTTTCTACAAAGCAAGCACCTAATCCTGTCCCATTGCCGGCACCATCCTGGCAGCAAAGCTGTCTATTAAGGACAACCACTGACTACCAATTTTTGGCTTTGATACACAAGCTGCAGCTCCTAAGAGTTCTTTTGAGTGCGTGCAAGGAATTGCTTAAGCCCTGATAAAGGGGGATTGTTGAGTCCCCAAACGTGTTGGCTATCTTTTGTCATCTTCCTGAATATTATGGAATGAATAAAGTACTGTTCTAGACTCTTAGGGCTCATGCACACGGGTGTGCACGTCTGTATGGTATGCACACACCTGGCCCCGGGAGGGATAGGTGCTGAATGTAATTGCGTGCACCAGCCTCCCTATGGAGAATACGGCTGCATGCGGTTACATGCAAACTCAAACCTGCACATTCATGTGGGTCCAGGTGCCCGCACATGGATGCAGACAATAAGCATCCAGGTGCAGGCATCCGAACCTGCACATATGTGCAGGTTCAGGTCTGTGTGTAACCACATGTAACCAAGTGCAGCCTCATTCTCCCATAGGGTGGTACAAGCTGCTGCATGCATTTACATGCAGAACCTGTCCCTTCCGGGATCAGGTCTCTGCACGATACTGCGTAAATGTTGTATGGACATGCACACCCATGTGAATGAGCTCTTAAAGTGTTGTTTTGGTGCTTCCTAGTGCTTTACTACAAACAGATTTCCCAAGCTTGGTGACCACTGTACTCGGAAAGAGACGCGTTTTGTTGGTAGCTGACAAAACCCAGTCCATTAGTGCAAACATAGACACCCTAACAACCACCTAAGAAATTGGGGCCTGTGCCTTGCTTTCATCTCCTCTTTATATGTTAGGTAGACACTGTACTGACTGGCACTGGTAGTAATCAGGAACTTGGTACTGACTGACACTGGTAGTAATTAAGCATTGTACTTGCTACCACTGGTACTAGCAGTATAAGGCACTGTATTGGCTGGCACCAGCAGTAATCAGGCACTCGGTACTAGCTGGCACTGGTAGCAATCAAAATGGCACTGGCAGTATTCAGGCACTGTACAGGCTAACGCTGGTACTGGTTTGTAATAAGGCACTGTGCTAGCTTACACTAGTAATAATTAGGCACTTGGTAGTGGCTGGCACTGGTAGTAAGCAGGCACTGTACTGGTTGATACTAATTTTGACTTGTAATCAGGCACTGGCTGGCGCACACTGTAAACACAATGGCTGTGATCCACAATCTCTCTGCCGGCTCTATGTTGTTAACAATTTTTGGAAACCTTAATTGGTCACAACAATCACAAGGTAGAGAGACACTTTTATTGGCTCTGTACTTTACTTTATGATCATCATTGTGCCATTCACAAATTGGTCAAAGTGATCACGTGGTGCAGAGTCACTTTCATTTGTGTTTTGTTTTTTTTCTGTGAGCTGCTACATCCATTTGCAATACAACCACATTTACTCTGCCCATGCATGCTAGAGTTTGCACACAAGCACAGTTAAAATAAAAAGAAGTTTAAAAACACCCACTCAACAAGAAAAGTGTGCTGTCTATCAATTAAATTACAATGAATGGATTGCAAGTGATTAACTTTGTACTTCAGGCAGATACACTGTAAATGACACATATTAAGGCTATTAGAGATTATTAAAGTGTCAGGAAACACACAAAAAACAACACATTACAGCTTCCCAAATAAGAGTTTTTAACCCTGTGTGCCTTTTTTAAAGGAGAACTATGAGATGAGTGATTTCCACTCACCTCATAGTTCTAGCCGCCAGTTTTCACATTGTTGAAAATAGCTGTTGAGCTTGGCAGTGACTGACTCTTGCCTGCTTTGCGGTGGCAACAATATTCAGAATCTTTTACACAGTGCATGCTTCAGATCTGTGAAAAAAAAACCATTGTTTATGGCTTCCCTGTGATGCTCCCTGTTGCCTACATCACAAGCAGCACCACCTTACAGGGTGGATCAAAGAATTTGATTGACAGCAGGTCCTTCACAGAGCCTCGCTGTCATTTTGTTTCTCAGCAGATTTGCAAAAGCAGATAGTCAATACTCAGATGTCAGTGCACAGATCATGGAGGACATGTAGCAGTCACTTGACCACTCAGAAAACACACAAAAAAAATGTTTTCCAGCCATTTGTTTGATAGCGGTATATGAAGCCGTGTAAATGTTGGGTTTTGAAATGGCAGCCTCTGGGTTTGCATGTGCTTTAATAAATAATAAAATATGTTTATTTTAATGTAACATGCATAAGTACTTGAACTGGACTTGGAACAGGCCTCTTGTAACCCCTTTACAGCAGCACTCAAATTGGGAGTCAATCAGGTGTGCTGCATGCTGTCAAGTGTTGTCAGGGAACATGCTTATAGGAGGAGAGTAAAGTAGAGCAGAGGATTATTTATTTACCTGCTGTGGTTCTTTTACTGTCCAGTCAGAAGGTCATCCACCTGTCTGTGCGTGTGTGGGGCTGTGAAAAACTGCAGGACTTGATGGACAGACAAATCCATTGGCAATTAACAGCTCCCATGCATGCATTTCATCTATTTAGCGTTCATGTATTTAACAGTAATTTAGCAATAGTCCATTTATTGATACATTGCCATTCTATGCATGGTGTGCTTGTGACTTTATTTCTTCATGTATTTAACAGTTTACAAGTGTAAAATTATACCCATCTGTGAGCTGCAACTAAGCAAATGCCATCAATTAATTTTGTGTCATTTGGTGCAGCATGTTATATAACATCCCTAAAAAGAAACAAAGAGCTCAAGAATGTCACGTAATGAGCCCCAGCCAATAAAACAAAATCTTGTTTTTTATACTGATAAATGCAAATGAGAATTTTTATTCCACAACAGGTAAAGATACTAATCCTAAACCATCAAATGTAAATGTGTTATCTCTAAGTAGTCTACAAAATCAAATACATTCAAGTAGAAAGCAGCACAATGGCCAATATTAAAATCAGAGTTTCATACCAATAGTGACATCCGAGGAACTATGCGTCTCCAGAAAACCGTTGACATGGTACCATGCTTTAGGAATCCATTCAATTATCTTTATAAGGTCATTGTTCCTCATATTTTTCTCTATTTCCATTTCAATTAGTTTTCGTCTTAAGTATCTTCCGAGGAAACCCTTCACTGGATCTGTATGGTTTGCACATAGTACCCACCTGAGATGAACAGTATTTCATCATATTAAAATAAACGTAAACCGTACATATTTGTCGTACTATCATAACCAACAATGTGCAGATAATAATCAAAGCAATTAGGGGTCTGGATATTTCCCATTTCAAAATTGTTAACACAAGAAAGAGAGAGAGAAAAAAAACAAAGATTGCTGCAGAGCTAATATCACAACTTTATTGTTCACATTAGAACATATACAGCATAACAAAATAAATCATCTATAACCCATAAATATACTTAAAAACACATCAATTCATATTCAAATACATTCACACCCAATAGTTAATAAATATCCTATAGCAAACCTCCTCTGCTAGAATCATGTTGTACAACTAGCTCAGCAAAGTCTAGACAAAAGACTCTTACATGTTTGTCTTATATAGTTAATGCTTAGGTATTTCTTTTGTGTATTTATTAACTTATCATTTATGGGGATTTATTTTTTGGATGTATCTTTGACATTTATAATGTGAACTAATTGTTCAACAAGGCTCTAGTGGAAAAGGTTTGATATAAGATATGTATTACTTGAATATCCATTGTGAATATATTGGGGACTGACATGTTCTTAAGTGTTTTTATCAGTTATGTATTAATTATCTAGTTATGTTGCATACATTCTAATGTGATTGGTAAAGTTTTGATATTAGCTGTGCAGCAATCTTTGTTTTTTTTCCCTTTTTTTTGATGTTCCCATCAGAATAACCCACTTAGCTCTATGGGGTTGTGCTTCTCTCGTACATGTATTTCTAAATTGTTGACAAGACCTTGTGGTCTGGTTTGAGGGATTTTACCTAAATTCCAGTATATTTTATTTGTTGCTCCTGGTCATATTGTGTGTTTACTAAAATTATAGACATTTTGTGTAGTAATTGCCAAATAATTAGAGACTCTTGTTTTAAATGTTTTATGGTGTTTCCCAAAAAATGCATTAAGAATGTTACAGATAACTGGATATTTTACTAGCTCTATAACATTAAAAAAAACCCAGAATAATTTAGATTGTCAATCAAAGATTCAAATCCCACAATCTCTGAATTTGAAATAAATAATTACCTGAAATTATGATGCAGTTCTAAATTTGGTGATGAGGAAATACTCTGGTTCATTGTTCCAATTATATAGGGGCTGCAAGAGAGAATATTCAATAAATAAAACAGGCCATGCTGACAGATATATTTACATACTAAGCAAATATGTTGTCTCCAATGTTACCATATTGTTCCTAAATGTGACCTTACATTACTCAGAGAAACCCTGAAAATAGATTAATGTATGTATTGTCATACAAGACTTCTTGCATCTCTAAATCCCCCTAAATTGTCAAGGGCTAGAAAAGTGGAACCACACCACAAAGCAATTTGAAGTGTTAGCAACATTCCCCACACCTGATGAATGCTTATCATCAAAAGCCCCATCTTCTTTTATCAAGATGATGCCATGAGTGCAAAAACCTGTCATGCTACGACAAAAAAAAGGACAGAGTAGAAACTAGCTTTTTAGCTAATAGTTAGAAATGTGAGTTAGTTATGTTAGGCTAATAGTTAAAATGTCAGTTTTTAATTGTCAAAGGACCCATTCTCTTTTTCAAGATGCCATGAGTGCATAAACCTATCCTTCCATGACATGTTAAAATGGAAAAAGTAGAAACTGACATTCCTACTAATAGAAAATAAAATTGCCATTTTATACATACTGTATATCCCATTGTGATGTAGGGAAACATTTTTCATTTTTGCTGGAATTGCTTCACACATACACAAAAAAAAAACAGTTCAAACTGATATAATCAGCCTTACTGACAATACAGAATTTAAAACCTGTATACACCATTATAAGAGCAAGATATTGTGAAGATAGTGCATGTGTGTATCGAACCATTACAAATATATAACCTGAACTGCTAATGTTCTGAAGAAGAAGTTCTTCCACTTAATGAATGACACATGTAGATTACACAGGTTGTATGGCTTATAAAAGGCAGGTACTGAACTGACTGAATCTAATCAACCATGGAACCTGTATCATTTAGGTATGTCAGTAATTAAAGGGATGAGTTGGCAAATTTGCCAAGCAGCTGTACATCCTCACTATACTGAGAAACCTATTAGTTCCCAGAGTGATGAAGGCATGATTTTTTTTTTTGCAGCTTATTTTTCCGGTAGCAGGTATACTATATGCACTTTTTTATAAACCTGAAGTCTTCAACCTTTGGGTGAGAGCCATATTAGGTACATATTAGGTGTAACTCCAGGTGATCTGCATACCTAGCATGGATTTTAGAGATCCTTTATACAGAATCACACCTTTCTCTGTTCTAAGGCCCCATACTTACTTTAATGGGCTGCTCTACATGTGACAAAGGCAGCAAAGAGACTCATTCAGCTCTGGCCTAGGGCACCATGGCTTCTAAGGGTGCATAGCGCCTAATATATGTGAATTCACTGCATTTTGCCCAAAGTCTTCAAAGGCAATATTTGCAGGGCACTACCACTGACACAGCTTGTAAACACCTGAAATTGTGCCAGGCCTACTTGCTGAATACCCCTCCGTGCCTTATGTGTGGTGTTACTGCATGCAGCTGGGGTGCAAGCAAGACATGTAAGAAGCCAGCTTGATAAAGGAATGTGACTGTGGCTGTGCAGGCTTGATATTTCTCTTTGTCACTGCTCACTCTGTTTCATGCTGTCTTTGAACTATACTGCTTTTCATTTACAGGAAGCCTAGGAAGTTCTGCAAAGAGTAACTGCACAAGAATGTTGGAAACTGTTTCTGTATTTTTTAAAAGATGCATACAAGTGTTTAATTACTGCTAGGTGAAGGAATTACTACAAGTGAGGTGCTCACCTTTCTAGATGTTCATAATTTTTTTTAACAATGTACACAAGCTGTGAATTTATGCCCAATTTGGCCCACAATCAGCCATGGCCACCAACTGCTGGTGGGCAGTGCACTATGTCCTAAAATTATGTTCCCCCCTAACTATTTGAAAATGTTGACAACAATGTGCCACCAATATAGTGGGCCACCAATATAGAGGGGTACAACCTGTCCAGGAGGGACAGAGGTGGGAGAAGGGGGGAGTATGCATATTAATCTAAATACGCATATAAGGGATGATATCACGTCAAACAGTAGGGAAGACGTGGAATCCTTATGGCTAGAACTGGATACCGGGGAGGATAGTCGTAAACTTATTGTGGGTATTTGTTACAAACCTCCTAGTATTGGGGAGGAGGGGGAGGCCCATCTTCAGTCCGAAATTGGAATTGCGGGGAGGGAGGGCAATGTAGTCGTGATGGGCGACTTCAATTACCCGGGTATAAATTGGGCTAATGGAACCTCAAGTTCAAGCAAGGAGGGCCGATTTTTGAACATGTTGAGAGACAACTTCATGGACCAGATGGTGGAGGTCCCTACTAGAAAAAATGCCATCCTAGATTTAATCATAACTAATAATGTGGAGTTAATTGAAGATATTGTTGTTGGGGAGACTCATGGGTGGGAGGAGCAGGGTCTGCAATTGGTTCAGGCATGTGCATTTCATGCTGTTGCTAGCTAGTCTAAAATAATCGCTGTGCAGGATGGGTGTTTTTTTTTAGTCTGCTGGCATGTAACAGGTGTTGTCTCTTAAATATTTTTGCACATGATCTATAAAGGATGGGGTTGAGTTGGGGTGTCGGACACTGCCATGCCACTGCTGCTGCAAAAATCTTTTATTCAGGTATATGGCGTATTATCAGAGCTGTGTGTGTGTGTGTAAGTGCAGGGGAGTGTGAATGTGAAAATTCATTTTGGGTCATTATGGAAAATCTGAAAATCATCTAGTAAAGATGAACTTTGTTACAAAGCACTGTTAATGTGATTTTATATATATATATATGGTATCAAACCCCAACTAGAATATAGCAAACATTCTAAAAGAATATAGCAAGCATTCTTTTTGAAATATGTTGATGTTACAACACTGCCATTTAACACAACAACGTCATTACTGTCTTTCACAAGACACCAAGCACTACAATAAAGTAATCAACAGATCTATTTATCTCTTCTGTTGTTGGTGACATTTGTTCCATGAAGTCACAGTGACAAGAAAAGAGTACTATTGTCGCCTGTTACCTGAACACAATACAAGAAACAAGATGTGTACATCCAAGATAACACATACAAAATGTGACACCTTCTGATATGTTCCCTTTAATAAACTCCTTCTGGCAAAATGTGGCAATCAATGCCAATAACCTTACCTAATGCTAATGAGAAATGGATTGAAAGATAATTGCACATGGAAATGATCATACTACAAATGTATATTCTGTTATTTTACAAAATGGGAACCAATAATCATGTGTAAGAAGAATATTATAAGCCACTGTCTAACATAATCAATAGGAAGAGCATCTTAAAATAAATAAGCAGGTGTGCTTATAAATTACTTATGTAAGGAGCCTGCATTAGGCTGGAGTGTCCCTAGTTAAATTATGGGTTTGCTTTAGCAGCTAGCAATTATTTACTATATTATATTAAATTACTATATTACAGCCAGCCTGAGCAATTATTTACTTTTTCTGTGCTCTGCATATTTTTGTTCAGAGAGAAAGATCCATCATAACTTAAAGTAGTATTAAATACTCACTGTTATATTGCTCATTAAAATCAGCTCCACCTAGCCAGCAGCTGATATATTGTTAATTTCTCCTTTGTATCCCAAATCCTTACTTTGCAGATGTTCTGTAGTTGTCTGTCCTGTATCCCTCCATTCAGCACTGCTGTGACCTTCTGGTCAGGGAGCATGCCCTGGGCACAGCTGAGTTTAAAATCTTCAGGATAACATGTCCCATGATGCTTTATGTGCTGCCTAACCCATATGCGGCACAGAAGGCAGCGCAGGCAGTGGCACATACTGTGCACATGTCCGCTAAGCACAACTAGTGGCCCCTACTGTGCAAGCGTTGGCCAAACACAGTAAGGCACGTCAGGGTGGCTCCAGGGAGACACTGAAGTAAAAAAAAAGCAACCCTGTATGAAGAAGATGCACATGGCAATTTTCAGAGGCTGAATTTTGGTGCAAAAAATTAAAAAAAGGTCACTCTCCTGAAGGTGATGTAAGGTATGCAGCTACAATATTTTTTTTTTGGAGGGTTTAATAATGCACACACACAAGACTGCTCTTATAGAGTCATAGATCTGAACCATGACTGCACTTACAGGGTCATAATATGTTTTTGGCTGCTCTTGAAGGACCAACTACTACCAAGAAACCTCTCTGCCAAAGTTGAATTTAGCAATGACATAACAAAAAGTCTAAAGTAACTGGCACCCAACGTTTGCCCCTACCATATGCCAAGGCGTCCTCCCCAAGAGTGGATGCGCCCAGGACGAGATGTCAGCCTGCTATACCGATTTGTGGGTTATTCCACACCACCCTGACAGTAGTGCTACATTTAGATTTGATTTACATGTAATATCAGTAATTGTGTTTTCACTGATTGCATGGTGATAATACAGATCAGTGTTTTCATAGAAATGTGCAGTGTTTGTACATCCGAGCACATATTTATTTCTTGTTACTTCTTTTAAGGAGCTGCTGATATTCTTAGGGTCAAAATATTACACTGTTTTTGTTTTCTGAGTGTGAATAATGTGTTCAAACTAATTCATATAACTATATCAATTGTTTAAAGTGGAGGTAAAGTTAGGCATGAAAAAAAGAGCCCCCCTGGAGCTTTTAGCCATATTGTGCTTGTATGCACAGCATATTAGCACATTATGGCAGACTTCCATTTTCATGCGTCTTCTTCTAGGTTCCAATTCTTCGAAACCCTTGATTGGCCGAACCCGGATGCTGTAACTCCTGTATATGCACATTTTTTTTATATTAAATATAAAATATTAAAACAAATTCTCGACTTCTCTAGAGTTGAAAATTTAATTTCTTCCAAAGTGTATTAATTGAACTGATAAGCAAAAATTATAGTGTTTTAAAATCCACTTCTTGATTTGTGGGTTTCCATGTCCCGCTACCCCCCTTTTCTATATTCTGACTTATCTATGCTTCTCCTCCTGTTTACTGCTGTGGCATTTTCCTTCAATCCCTGTTTCCTCTGCAGAGTCTATCAATCTCATATTCTGCATCCCACTAAGGTGCTTGTGTTTGGGTGCTTGTGTTTGGTGCAAATCAGCAAATAAATAAATAGACCCGAGAGCTGTTAGTCCTATATTGAACAGTTGCAAGTTTACAAGAGAAAACCGGAGTGCATTTTGCTAAAATGACAGCAAACCTAAACAGAACCAGTGAAAGAAACACAAAAAAGGGGCGCCTTTCCTAGTGCAGTATCGTTTATTCCAAAAAAACAAGCATAAAGGTGAACTGACAGGTACTCACAATACTGAAGTTTAAAACAAGCTGTAAAACTAGCTGTAGAACAGTAAAACCGGAGCAGTAAAAGAATCCGAATGACGTGTCCTGTGTAAAGCACTGAAGTGTCGACGCGTTTCCGGGGCACGCCCCCTTCCAACGCCCCACCCCCTTCAGTGCTTTACACAGAACATGTCATTCAGATTCTTTTACTGCTCCGGTTTTACTGTTCTACAGTTAGTTTTAAACTTCAGTATTGTGAGTACCTGTCAGGTCACCTTTATGCCTGTTCTTTTGGAATAAACGATACTGCACTAGGAAAGGCACCCCTTTTTTGTGTTTCTTTCAGATGTTCCAGTTCCCTTGACTGCACCTTGCATATGTGCTTAGCATTCCTTCCTTGTGAGGGATAAGGATTGTCCCTGGCGCTTCTAAAACAAAAAAACTTTCTAAACAGAACCAGATACCATTCTAATTCTTAAATGATTTAATTCCCCACAGCCCCAAACCTATTTGAAATTGGTTGTCACCTTTTACTATTCTCCAGTTTGCCCATTCTGATGACTGTGGGAGATGCCACAATCCTAAGTATTGGCACTGTACTGTTTAGATGGAAGCATTATCCTGTCCACACTTGATGTCAGAAGCCATGACTGCTTAGAGAACAGGCAATGTTAAGAGCATATGGAACTTACACCTTTTCAGTGGAGCAGCAAAGCACAGGTTAAACATACCACACTCTGTCAACAATCCTATGAGTGCTCCAGAACTGATGTCTGCCAGGCACAGATCTCCTTCATACTTGTACAGGAAGTCCTATTCTTAAGTACACATTTATAACGCAGTCTAAGGTGGAGACGCCTAGAGGGGATGGAAAAGTATTGTGGGCTGGGGGTCTAAAATTACATTGGTGAAATCTCAAAACCGGATGCCATAGTTACTGCTTAATTCCTTTTTGTCAATATGGAGGCTCTAGATCAAACATGAAATGGGACACACCAGGCTCATAACAGGATACAGAGTGAGTTTCAAAAATATGTTGCAAATTCATAAGTTATGATATGTGGGCATATTTAAATTTGCTTGTGATGTTCATTATAGATCCACTTTGCTACAGCAGCCAGCTACCATTCTAATGAGCAAAATGTTCATTAGAACATAGGTTTGAAAATTATACATTTAAAGAAAAAATGGATTCACTTTATAATAGGCAAATACAGCACAGATGTTGTACAGCAAGGCACTAAGTTGCATGCTTCTACCTTCTCAGAGATTCTCAGAATTAAAGAGAAACTTCAGGCATATAAAATGTTAACCCTTGCAGTTGGCCATGGCTGCACTGCAAGAGTTAACTTCTCATTTTTCTCTAGGGGCTCAAATAACAAAAAAAATAACCCCCTGATCCTTGATCCCACCTGGCTGCTAGAACGGTCCCTACTGCCTCTTCGCCCCCGGGTTCCAGCGGTCTAAGCCCCGTTGGTGTCATCACGTCTAATACAGTCTATTCACTTGCATTAGACATGAGGATGCCAAGTGACATACCACAGGTGGAGCGGAGGGCTAAGGAGGTGAGCACTCACCGCTGCAGAACCAAGGATCAGGTGAGTATATCTTCTTTATTCTGGCCCCTAGAAAAAAAACAAGCAGTTAACCCTTGCAGTGCACGGATAGCCCCACTGCAAGGCTTATCTTTTTATATACCTGGAGTTCTCCTTAAACACCCAAACACAATAATGCCCATGTTTGCGTCATTCTGGCATAGTTGTACAGTCACATGTAAACATATCTTACATAGAAGCAAAAGACACATAAAAGAATTGTCATACCATTTACTGTATTTACAGTTTAGAAATCCATTGAAGATGTCACTAAGGGATCCTATATGATGAAGATTATCAAGAATTACTACCAGCGGGAGGTCAGTATCATTATCACCACTGCACTGGTCTACGAGATTAGCTAGGTACTGTCGTAGTTCCTAAAAATAAAGAAAGTATGTTAAAGAAAGGTAGAACTGCTATTTTCAACATGTGAATGAGAACAAATTGTGTTATAGCATTATTTGCCAGAACAATTAAAAGGAGAATGCAATTTTTACTTCTACTGTATAGAGCAACAATTATTCCAGATCATTCAAAATAACAAATATCTGCACATTATAGTTGTAATACAACTGCTTTAATTTAAAATACATTTATAGCAGAAAGATAATTGGCACCATACTTGATTATGTGATCAATTACATTCTTGGGAATCAAATACTGTATGTGTATGAGAGTGTGAGAAGCAGAGGCTGGCAATTGGGTGGAGTGAATTGAAGTCGAAAAGCAATGGTTATACTTTATATTAGCAGAGCAGTCAAAACAGTTAAAAATAATAATTTTGATTGGTAGCTATAGGTACAAATATTTACTCACTTCTCTTTGACCTATTAAAAAAAATGGCATATATATGCTTTCAGTACTCAGGAAAAGTAATAAGGATTTGGGGAACCTATCATAAGCCAAATGTGCTATTTTTTGCAGCTCATTCCTTTATGCAGTGTGATCTCTTGTTGACCTTGTAGGCTATAATAGGACAGGAAATGCTAGATGAAACAAAAATATCAGTCTGACTTTAAAAAGATTATAGGATGATATCTTATTGATTATAGAAATTGTATCTTATTGAAATCCCTTGTCCACAACAGCTTTGTGATATAAATGCACATTTAGCAAATAATAAATTAGTTGGCACACGTATCCCAGCATTTGAACACTATTATCACACTTTAAGTGAGATGTCTATTGTCTATCTAGAAAGCGTGGTCACTGATATACACAGTATTCATTTACATGCCATGTTTTGATAAACATATGATGAATTACCTTTTTTCAATTTCATTATTATTGTCTTATTATTGTAGATACCCATATCTATGGCCATACAGTAGTACCTTTAACAACGCAACACCTTGTTAATCAGTGTGATTATGGAACATATTTTTAAAGTAATTATGATTATCATGGATTTTTGCCTTTTTTTTCAATTTTCTTGTTTTAAATCTTCTATGGTACAATAATACATTTTTTTATACCATTCAGTAATTTGCAAAAGGCATTTGTCATTCCAGGGTTTTCGATTCACATATTTTTATGTATGTTTTAAATCAACCAATAATGTTCTACCAAATATCCTTTTTTTTATTTTACCTTGCACATAATTGGGTATTTAATGTAAACTCTGGCTCACTTTTTTTTTAATATAGCTCACTATGTTCACTATATGTATAAAGTTTATTTTACTAAGTAAACAGCCTTTTTAGTAAATGAACCAAAACCCAAAGCTTCTTTACGTTTTTTTTTTCTTATACACTTTAGACTTTTTCAGGTAGCTGGTAGACTTTAGATTTTCAGTCCTGTCATTTGATATCCTTGGGCACCTGCAATAACTTTTACAGCCACTATGTGAGGATGCAAATCTAAGTAACAAATGCAATTTTAAAATATGAAACCCCAAGCAAGTATAAATGCAAAGGCTCTTTCAGAAAAATGTTATAATACTTAAAATTTGTATATACTGAAAACACAATATAGTTTCCAACTATTCTATTCTCTTGAAAGAGATAAATCAATATACGTTCGCTTACTCACTTTACTTGATTTGTGATCCACATTAAAGGTTGCAATTGCTTCCTCAATTTTCCTTCTGCCACTTTTATTTACAACATATTCAGCAAGTTTGTTAGCTAGATATGTCTTTCCTGTTCCGCTGGGTCCAGATAATATAATCCTGTGATGTTCCATCAATAAATTAAAGTAGCGCTGAGTAATTGGTTTGGGAATGAGAGTATCAAACACAAAACTGTCCAAACTACTTTCTTCTACACCTAGAAAAAGAAAATCAAAAGGGTCCTGTGAGCAAGTGCTCTGAAATTAAGACATAGTACATGGTATTGAAAACTTGAAATATCATACAGTTAGATGGGGGAACCATAAGCCTAAATCAATCATTTTAATCAATAAATAACTCCTATAAAAAAAAAGCTAAATAATGATTTGTACAGAAGGTAACAAACGCTTCATGTAACTTAAAGCAGACCCTTCTCCCTCATTTGAAACTGCCACCATCACTGTAATAAATAGTACAAAATAAACATAGCTAAATGTTATTACTTGTCACCTTTGTTTCTATTTGGCCACATGCTAATGAACCTGTTCTCTATTAATCCTGCACCACCATTTTTAATTCTAGACGTCATCAGTGGCCTGCTTTTTTTTAATGTTTTCAAGGCCAACCAACCTATAACATTAGCACAAGATATGTGCAAAAAAGAAGAATGAATAGGCATGTTCGTTAGATCTCCATGAAATCTCAAGATATCTCAAGAAAAAGACCATTCATTCTTTTCTACGCAGATTAGCAGTTTACCTACAAGAGTTCCCTAGTAAGGCATTGCTGATGTAGTCTTCCCAGGTGACAGCTGTGAGGCCCTGAATACATCACTGGGACCTATTCAATACCAGGAAGTGGGATCACAACAAAGTGTAAGTTAACAAAAAAAATACTTATATTTTAAATAGGACTTACAGATGTGTAGGGATGAGCATGCAGAACTGCATGCATAGGTGATTTATGGACTTTTGGGGGAAAGTTCTGCTTTTTTAAAAGAATATACCGTAGCTAAATTAGCATACTTGCTTTGCCCCGACATTCACAAGTGAAGGGATTGCACAGTGAGTTTGAGCAATAAGTGACCATCTGCGTCTGCAAATGCTAAATAACAACTGAGTACTGTCAAAGCATTATTGGCTAAATGTAGACCATTCTTTACATTTATCTCAGTAGAGGTTACTGTTTAAAAATGCATTCCCTTTTAACACACCGGTGCCCCTAATATTTCCAGGTTGTTTGCAAAAATAACAGCTCACTTTTTTCCACTGTTCTGCTATCCCCTGAGACCTGTACTGGAATTCTCAGCACTCCGCCAGTTTAATGGTATATTATGATCCCAAGAGAACACAAATAAGTACCAAGAATTGAATGAAAGCTCCAAAAACAGAGATAAACACAAGCAGATAACCATTCACTTTTTCCTTTGTTGTGCTAACCCCTGTACTGCTGTACTTGAACTCTCAGGACTCTGCCAGTTCAATGTTATATTAAAATCCCAAGAGAATATGAATAAGCACTAAGAACTGAATGTAAGGTCCAAAAAGCAGAGGCAATTACAAGAACAAATTCTACAGTCTGGAACTGCATATAAAGGCATGCCAAGGACACCTTATTTAATTTAACAACTTAATACAGCAGCCTGACTCTCTTTTACCTTCCCCATTGACTCATGCTGATGGTAAATCAATGAACACTAATGTTTTCTCTCAACTAGTGCAATAAATCCTTAAGTATATAAGAGAAATAAGGATTTGGCAAGTTCAGGCTATTACAAGAAAACATGGGTGACAAAATAACATTTTTCTTTTTATTGCAGAGGTTTACTTAGGGGTCTATTCACGAAGCTGCTGAAGGATCTAGCCGTAGCTTCGGCCGATCCTCCGGCTAGCTTCGGGCCCAGGACCCCTTCGGTTCAGTAGAACCGAAGGGGTGCTGTATGGGCTAATTACTATAGCCCGTACAGCTCCCGAACATGGCCGAGCGGCTCAGTCGAGCCGAACATGGAAAAAAAAGCATGTTCAGCCGACCCGAAGTCTTGCGAAGCAAGCCGATGTACGGCTGTTTCCAGCCGATATACGGCTGAAATCAGCCGTACCAGCTCACTTCACTTCAGGCCGGTCATTCACTCGGCTGCCGATGGCAGCTTAGTGAATAGACCCTTTAGTTTTTTACATTTTTGGAATTTAAAAAACGGGGTAAAATTGCTCTGTACTGTAAAATATAAGGATGTGCTCGTTTATAGAGGAGTTTGCCAGATATATAAAAACAAAGAATCACAGACATATTACTTTTCTAAAGGTAAGGAATCCTTTAGTAAAATTCACAAACTTCAGTTTGAAAGAGAAGGATATGATGTGATCACATCTATTTTTTGTTCTTTCAATGGCAATTAAACATTTCAATATGGTTCACATGCCAAAGAATGGTGTGACAAATGTAACATCATTATTTTACGATCATGTTATATTTTTACAGGAAATATTTACTACTAAACCTCTCTTATTCAGGTCAGAAGCAATACATATATACACATACGCCGTATTTTGCGCTCTATAAGGCGCTCCGGACCATGGGACGCAGGGATTCTGTGACAGAAGCTGCAGTTCAGTGACCGCTGAGACAGGTGGCGCTGTGATTACAGCGCCATAGTCTCAGTAATCACACAGAGCAGACGAAGAACGGCGTTCTTCGTCTGCTCAAGGGGCTCTATGGTGAGCTCCTATGCCGTGGTCACGGTCCCCCAGAGGAGCGCGGGACCCCGAAAACCACGGCGGGGGGTGGGACACAATTG